GACACATACACCCTTCCTTCCAGAGCCCCCTGCCCTGAAGCCAGAGCGGGAAGGCGAGTGCACACGGGCCTTGTGCTAACGTGTTACCGAGGAGGAGGTGAATGGGGCAGAGTGGGGAATGGGGGGACTGTAACATTTAAATGTATATTTGCGGTCTGTCGAGGATTTCGCTGGAGCCGCCTTTGCAGAGAATTAGGGGCGGGGAGGTGGTCTTTCTGAGAACGGCCTCCGAAAACGTGCCCCCAGGGTATGGGCAGGAAGGGCCCGGGGCCGCCTGTACGCAGGGTAGGAGGCGGGGCGGGGCGCGGAAAGGTTCCAGGCGCCACAGGCAGCGGACTGGGCCGGGGCAGGTTGGCATTCGGATGAAAATCTGCGTCGCTTCCTGCCCGTCGCTTCTGCTTCGGCCTGGCGAGGTCAGGAGACGTTTCGTTGCTTTGCATGTAGAACTGCTAAAGAACGAGCGACGCGAGTTCTGCGGCTGGAGGAGGCGCGTGCTGGGCGGCCGGGGCCCCGTCCCGCCGCTGGACGATCCTCTCCACGCCCTCCCCGCGCGGCGCCCGGCGGGGACCTCGGATCGGCCCCTGCCCCGCACGACCTCCCGCCGGATCCCTGGCCGGTGCAGCCCCCCGGCTCTGAGACGCCGCATCCGCGCCAAACCGCGTTCTTCTGCCGCCGCTTGCGGAGGGGGAGGAGGGCGGGGCCGCACCCGGCCCTCGGATGCTTGCTCTTACCCCCGCGGGCCGCGCGGTGTGGTCGCCCTGGAAGCCGGCCCTTTCTCCGGGTGACGCGTTAGCTGGGTACCCCGACCAGCAGGTGCTGAGGGGCTCGGGAGAGGTAGTCGCGTCCGCAGAAGCTCACTTCGGCCTGAACTTGGAGAACACCTTGGGGTGGGAGCGCAGCACCGACGGCGAGGGGGCCGGGGGCGGGGTCTGAGGGGCAATCCGCCCCACCCCCGCGCGGGCTCCGCCCCGGGGACCCCGCCCCGCCCCGCCCCGCCCCGCTCTGGCTCTTCCACCAGAGGACCCCACCCCTCGCCCAGGCCCCGCGCGGGCGCCTCCCTACTCCTCCCCGGTCTTCCGAGGCCTCTCAGCTCGCCCTCTCTCGGCGGGTGGGTGGGAGGCCGACGGGGGCTGTGGGCGGGGCCGGCTGCGGTCTTTTTTCCCCACCGCCTTTCGGGTGGGGGGCGGAGGAGGGCTGGGTGGTGATTAATAACCGCGCCGCTGGGGCGCGGGGAGGAGCGCTCGCTGAGAACGGGGCGGGCGGGACGCTTGTGGGTGGAGGGCTGGGGGCGGCCCCAGCTGCTCTTCTCCCGGGCTCCGCCACCTGCGCCCCGCCCCTGCGGCCGCACTCCAGCCCCGGAACCGCGGAGGCGCGACCCCGCCTTGGGAAGGACGAGGTTCCCGTCCCGACGCGCGGATTTGTCTCCGGGCAGTAGCCCCGCCGTTCTCGGCATGTGGCTGCGCTGAGAGCCGGCCCGCTCGCGGATCCGGGGAGCCGGGCGTTGGCTCCCTTTCCCTGCTGTGTGAGAAGGTGGACCTGCAGCCGACAGGATGACCAACCCTGCGGCCGCGCAGAACCAGGAAATAGACTGCCTGAGCCCAGAAGCTCAGAGACTGGTAAGAAGAAAACACATTTTCGAAACTTTTGGTTCTGATTGCCAGTGTTTGGTCCTTATTGATGTTCTAGGAGCCAAGGGCAGGCGGCACCTTCCGCCGCAATCATCTGTGCCCTGGGAGGTGTGGGGCTGCCTCGCCTGGCCGGGGACCCCCTTAAACGAACGTCCCCACGCGAGCATGGGCGGGGGTGCGGTGGCCTGCTCTCGGTTCAGTTCACGGCTCGGTGTGCGCTGCTCCCCCCCCCCCTCCGCCACGCCGCTTGCGCCCTGGAAAGCACATTTTCCTGGGCAACGCCCCTCAGCAGGACGGAAAGGAACTTAGTTTGGTCCCCTCTGCCCGCAGTTACGGCCTTTTGACGGGCTCTGCCCAGCTGTGTGACTCGGCCGCGGATCCAGCCGAGGTGTGAGACCTGCGCGTGGTCTAGAGTTTAGCTCAGAACTGCTAGTTTGATGTTTTACAAAATACAGCACCTAGGAACTGGTGCCCAGAGGCGGTGCCCTCGCTCTGAGGCTGGCGCCCCCAGTGGCTGGGTGGCTTGGAGCAGAGCATTTACCCTGCGCTGGGCCTTAGAACCAATGGGTTGCACCCGGTTTCTTTAGTTCCCCCAAGGACCCCAGTTCCCAGATCCACTTTGGCTGGTCTCCTGGGGTCGCCGGGTCCGGAGGGGATCCTCCCTCCGGGGGATTTTGCAGTTATCCGGCTCAACACCCAGCGTTGGAACCATGGATTGTGGGAGTAGTTTGGCGTTAAAATCGGGCAGGGGGTGAGGTGGGGAAGGTTTGTAACTACTCCTTTCATGTGGCTTGATGAGGAATGGGAATATTTAAAGGTGAAAGGGCGTAGTTTGGAAAAGAAGCACATCATTAAGTTAGTACTGAAGACAGGGAGAGAGAGACCCTAGATTTCCACTTTATCCGGCCTGTGTGGAACCTTGATAAAAGTGTGAGCCCCAAATAATCACTCCTTCACCAGGTAGGAATTAATCACCTACTGAGTGTTTGTGGAAGATTCAAGATGAATAAGACTGCCCTGCCCTGAGCTTCCCGGTCAGCACCAGAGAGGGCTGTAGAAATAGATTCTGATGAATACACACTTGAAAATTACACTTCTTGTGGAGGACAGGCGGGTGGATATTTTTAAGGTCCTCGTTAGTGTGCTCCTCTGACCTGACATAACGTTCCACCCCTGGACCAGACCTTTGGAGCTGGTTCCTACCCCTTAACCTACTTGGGAACCTACAGAGAGATCCTTGAATCACCATCAGGGAAGGGCCCTTGGAAGAAAGAAGGATGGGAATGCCGCTGAGAGGTGCCCAAGCTCCCGAGGAGCCGCCTAGGCAAACCATAGATGGCAAGAACAGGCTGATGTTAATCCTGGGCAAAAGATTTGAGCTCAGAGGAATGAACTGCTGGGCAAGGAGAAGAAATGAGTGACCATGGAGAACAGGATGTGAGGAAGAGAGCGCCAGGCCATCAGAGGCAGGAGTAGAAATAACACCTGTCACCCGAAGGCGCTGGCGGCACGGCCTCATTAACCCTTAACCCTGGACTGGATCTGGTTGAGATGCATGCTTCACAGAGACGCTGCTGGGAGTTGGTGACAGTAGAGACGGGAACAGCTGCTGATTGAGGAGGTGCTCGGTGGGCACAGCCCACCTTCTCCTACCCCGAGTTCCAGGATCCAGTAAGCTCTGAAAATCAGAAGTTGTTTCTCTTTTTTGTAAGTTGTTAGCAGGATTCATTTGGCAGTGATGGGAGGTTATTCGCGGCCCCCAAGTCTCATCTTATTGTAGGTATCTGTGCCAAGGTCCCCAGGTCCCATTTGGCTGATGGGAGGCTATTTTCAGTCTTTATTCTTCTCAGTGTGAATATTCATACATTTCTCTGCAGCCCTGTTAAGGTTCTTGACTAAGGGCTGTTACTCTGGGTTGTTACAGAATATATGGTGTATGCATCTCGTTACCTTTCTAAAATCCAAAAATGTTGATTTCTGAAACACATTTGGTCCTAGGGGTTTTCAGTAATCAATTGTGAACTTGCTCAAGTAAATAGCAGCAAAAACTTTTTTAGCGCAGGACTGTTTTTTGAGGTTAATGGTTGAAAAGGAAACCGTTGGGCTTCCCTGGTGGCGCAGTGGTTGGGAGTCTGCCTGCCAACGCAGGGGACGCAGGTTCGTGCCCCGGTCCGGGAAGATCCCACATGCCACGGAGAGGCTGGGCCCGTGAGCCATGGCCGCTGAGCCTGCGTATCGGAGCCTGTGCTCCGCAACGGGAGAGGCCACAACAGTGAGAGGCCCACGTACCGCAAAAAAAAAAGAAAAGAAAAGGGAACAGTTGCTGAAGGACCAGTGGGGTGGGATGTGTCAGAAGGAGTCGCCCCGCAGCCACCCTGGGCGATAGTGTTCCAGCGGGAGAGCAGTGGGCATTTCAGATTGGCTTGTGCTGGCTTGTGTTCTGTGCCCAGAGACCCTGTGTCCCGGGAACAGGGGTCACCAGGGGAGGAGGAGGGCCGGGGCCACCTGGGTGTGAGGCCAGAGCTGGGGTTGGCAGGAGGAGATGGACTTGTCCAGCTCCATCTCACCGGGCAAAGAAAAAAGCAGGATCCGAGCAGGAAGTCCAGGCTCCTTGCAGGAGAGGACAGTGTAGAAACCATGTTTCTTTAACTTTTGTAACTTCCCCATGTTCCTGCCGGGTTATGTCACCTCTGGTAGTTTTCCACATACTGATTAGCACTAAGTCCTCACAGACGACCAGCCCCATTCTGAGAGAGGCTATCAGGGTAGAACATGAACCCCCAAGTCTCATCTTACTGTAGGTACCAGTGCGCAGGTCCCCAGGTCCTGGTGGCGAGGGGACATGTGGATGAACGGGGGTGGGTGAACACAGTGCTGGGGGCCGACCCTGCTGGGCTCAACAGGAGACCTTTGAGTATTGGAATCATGGTTTGCTTTGCTTCATTTTCCCAAACATTTAAGATATAAAAACAGTAAGTTAGGTCTTTTCTCATAGTAGTAAGAGTGTCCCACTAGGACAAAGGTGGAGACTCAACTTCCCTTTTTCTTTAAGGGTTAGTTTCTGTTCAGCCGGAGCTAATATCAAAGTAGTGGAAGCCTCCTTAGCAAACTTTTTGTAAACCCTGCCGTCTAAACTGCCACTTACAGTGAGCACAGGAAATCGAGTTATTTATAGCAGCTGAAGTGTTTTCAGGCAAAGTTGATTGGTGTATTACCTGGTAGAGTGAGGTTCTTATCTGGTTTCTACAGAATTATGAGGCCACAAGTTGGTGCGATGTGTTTGCTCCTCAAAAGGCAGCGTTCAAGAGGAAATTCTTATCCCTGAAAAATCAGGCTGTGTGACTCAGCAAAAGAAATGTGTTGTTGTTTTTTGTTTCTGGAACCCACAGACTTTATTTATTTATTTATTAAACATCTTTATTGAAAGGAAATGTTTATGACTAGTTACTCATATGCCAGTGTTTCCAAAATATCTGACCATATTTAAAAGTTTTAATCTTGGAGCCCCATTGGCCATAAGGTTCGAAATACTAACCTGTTAAGGCCGTAAGCCTGTTACGTCTCACTGTGTGTTAGATGTGGGTCAGGGAGAAGAGGAACTTTTATTTACTTTACTGCTTTTACTCTGGGCCACCCCACTTTTACTCTGTGTGTGTGTGTGTTTTAAAGCAGCTTATTTCCATATTTTCATGGAATGGATTTACCAGAACTTTCATTATTCAGACACAGTCTAGATAAAATTAAGTAAATGAACTCCTTCTGAGTTAAACAAAGCACTATTTTGACTACGTCCAAGATTAAGTGATTCAGAATTGCCACGTGCTTGATTGCATACCACCCACTAAAATCCCCTTTCTGCGCCTCATGTATTCATTTGGGGGAGGGCCAGAGTTTCAAGTGCTTTTCTCCTTAATACTGTAACTTGACAACTTTAAAGCCATATAAATAGTTTTGTTTGGACGTTAAAGTACAACTACTCTAGTTGTAGTTCAAATGACTGTAAGGAAGATTTACTTTTCGTTTTAACTAAAATGTTTCATTTATATGTTTGTGTAATAGAGCTTATCAAAAGCAACATCATTTCTTTTTTTTTTTTTTTTTTTTTTTTTGCGGTACGCGGGCCTCTCACTGTTGTGGCCTCTCCCGTTGCGGAGCACAGGCTCCGGACGCGCAGGCTCAGCGGCCATGGCTCCCGGGCCCAGCCACTCCGCGGCATGTGAGATCTTCCCGGACCGGGACATGAACCCGTGTCCCCTGCATTGGCAGGCGGACTCTCAACCACTGTGCCACCAGGGAAGCCCCTAAAGCAACATCATTTCTGATCCTCACATCTGTTTTATTTTCTCTGGCCAGTGGGTGTGTAATCTTCCTGTGGAAAGAGAAATAGGAGTGGGCTTTTGTTGCGGGTAGGGAGTCTCCCCCTGCCTCCTCTGACGTTTCCCCAGCACTCTTTCTCCTGGTGAGTGCTTCAGCATGCTTGTCTTCTCCTGCTGCTTTCAGCCTCCTGTGAGCTGAATTCACACTGTCGTCATAGAAGACACTGTGTAGGTAGTAACAGTAGGTAGCATCTCCCAAACCCCTGCCGTGTCAGCCCTGTTAAGTGTTTTCTGTAGAAGTCTTCCCTTCCCCCTTGCATAACCTAAGAGGTGCTTTGGTTATTTCCACTTACACATAAAGAGAAAACAGGCTCAGAAAGTTCAGGGGACTTTCCCAAGGCCACACAGCCAGCAGGCAGTGGGGGCCAGTTCAGACCCAGCCTTGCTGGTTCAGAGCTGGTGCTAATGATGTCACCACCATACACGATGCTCGGGCAGGGTCCGGCAGGCAGTCAGCAAGCATCATTGCTCTTGTCAGGCTCTCTTTTGCAGCCCTGAGGCCTCACAACCCCAGTATCAGGGCTGAAGGGTTTCTTTTTACTAAGACAGGCTGTTAGGACACAAGACCTTGCTCCAGAGTGCATACTGAGAAGTCTTCATTTGATTAACGTT